AGGATGCCAATAAAAGTAAAAATATGTGTGTGCTTTTTCAAGAAAATCATTTTAATCAAATTTAAAAAGAGGCAATATGTCTGACTGTAGTCAAGTAAATCATGATTTCATTCCAGGGGAACAAACTTTGTACAGCTCTCTGGCACATCTGGTTTTTTTATACAGAGAATACACTGAGACCTAGGAACACCAACTATCTCATAGGTAATCTTTTTTATTGGCATGGTAAAGTCTCAAATGGAAATCTTTATTAAAAACTAAACCTTTGAAAATGTTTCCCAATCTCTTAATCTTCCATGTATTTTAGAAAGGAAAATAGTGTAATAGTTATTAATTTATTGTCATCTGACCATTTGGGATTCTAAACGTCAATAACTGGCTGAGTGAGTGATTCTGATTATCAAGGGGAGATTGGGTTGCTGCTGCACATAGTGGAAGGAGAACCATATCTGGACCCCAGGGATCCTGGGGAGTACCCTTAATGCTTCCATACTCAGTAAGTAGTAAAGGTTAACAGAAAACATCAACAACCCAAAAAAGGCAGGGTAGGTAGGAACTCAAACCTTTCTGGATGAAGGTTTGAGCCAATCCACCAGGTAAAGAACTTCAAGCTTCTAAGGTTCTTGATAAATACAGGGGAAATATTGAATGGAGAGTAGAAGAAGGAGGCCATACAAACCATAATTATAGCCTTGTTACTGATTGCAGAGAGGAGGGATGTAGTAGCTTTTAATATTTTTCCATTTGCTTGTTATGTATATGTATTTATTTTATTTTCTATTTTCTCTTTCTTTCCATTTTTATTTTATCTTATATACAAATTATTGGAAGTTAACTTTAGTATCTTGGAAACAGAATATTCAGTCAAACTGTGTTTGGATTTGAAAAAAAAATTAATGTATCCAGTAATGGATACAATTATTGGGATTTGCATCTCCTTACACTGACAAGAGAGTAAAAACGCCTTGTAAAATGAATAACTATTTCATATTAAGTGGGAATACAGAGTTGTTTTGTTGGTATGTAGGAATTCAAATGCATTTAGAATAATGCGTATAGGAGCCAAGTAACCAAAGGTGCAGACTGCAACAGCTATCTATTTATTGCCTTCTAGCTCTAAATTTATCCTTCATTGCCTGTTCTACAAAAGTGTATATGGGCCCTTTAAATCTTTTTTTTCTTTGCCTGCTAGTTGAATGTTAAGCATTTTCAGTAGAGGGCGCAGGAGGGACACTGCAGATAAGGAGTTGTCTATGCTAGTCCCAGTGTGTTTGCTCTGCAGCCAACTCCTGCAGTCTAAGTACAATGCCAAAGGCTTATCTAGGACCTGCTCCCCAGCACCTACAGCTTCTACAGTGCTCTGTTTCTGCAGCACAAGGGGCTGCTCCAGCACCAAGATCTTGAAGCATGGGCAGCTTCTTTAGCATCCAAATCCTGCAGTACACTGGCCAGCAGCAACCATCAGCCAACACCTGCCCTCCCTATCCCCCTGCCTTTTTTTTTTTTTTTAAACAGAGTTCTTCTGGTGAGATACCACTCCATGAAGAGCTTTCTCGGGTATCCTTTAGGACAGATTTCCAGCAAGTACTGCTAAAGCAGTACCACAGCAACCTCCCTGCCAGTGAGCTGCGGCTGTGCCCTTTCCAGTGAGGTCTAGTCCACATATCTCTGGGACTTCCTTTCTGGACAATCCATCTACACTGTAAGGGTAGTGACTATTCCTTATGTCTACTATTTCTGAGTTTTATAGCTCAATCTACCTCATCATTCAATCCTTCATCATTCCAACCACAGTTAATAATTCTTTTTATCAAACTTTCTCTTTTCAATTCCCTGTGCATCATCCTAGTAGCAATGGGCACACGCAGCACCCAGATCTTGTTTTTCAAATACCATTCTCCAATAGAAAGAACTAGGGCTTCTTTCAGAAATGGCCCATTCCAAGGCTAAGACATGAAAAATACACCAGGGGCCTGGAGTATCTTATAGTAACAGAAAGGAATGCAGTGCTCAAATTCACAAGGACAGGCATGTCCAAAGGACACAATGGCCAAGGCTGAAACTATTCAAGCAACAATATAAATAATGTGATACTGTCATATAACTCAATGTACATGAGTCCAAACTGATATAAATTATTAAGTAAATGAAGGAAAAGAAACATGTCTTTTTTTTTTTAAAGAATTCCAAACACTATAGGTAGATGTTCCTTCCTCAATAGATGGGTAGATTATGTGGCTTGCTTTTACACAATAGCATAGGAAAGGGGGAAAATTCTATGTTTACATGGAGAAATCTGGCCAACACAACTTCATCAAGCAGTGAAGGCTAACCAGGTGACGGCATCATGGGTGAATCTCCTGTGACTCTCCTGATTTCATGTGATGAGAAAGACACTTCAACTCTGCACTGTTCTTTTCAAAATTCATCACCCTCATCATGAAAAATACCAGACAAGCACAGACTGGGGTCCTGTGCAGTCCCTCCTCCACACTGTCAAGGCCATGAAAAACAAGGGAAGATTGAGAAACGGTCACAGAGGATACTGGGGAGATGTGAACATGGTATGCAGCTCTGGATGGGAATCTGGAACAAAAAGAGGATATTTATGGAAAAACTGATGAGATCCAAACAACTTCTGGAACTTATTTACTACCAATGTGCTAATGTCAGTTTCCCAATTTTGATAAACTGATGGTAATTTAAGAAGTTAACGATAGAGGACATTGGATATAGAGATATAGAAACTTTCTGTACTATCTTTGCAACAATTCTGTAAATCTAAAATTGTTTCAAAATAAAAATTTTACTAAAAAAAAAAAAATGACTGTGGTCTCTGTCTCCTGATTGAAACTTACCAGGTACCAAGAGTCCATCTAATTATAAAAGCAGTCATTTTATGAATCTATCATACATCATCAAAGATATGCAGTAACCACAGAGAAGGAAAAATGGAAATAGAATCATTGGAAATTAGGCAGTTTTAATTCTGATATATAATAGATGACTAGAACATACATTTTGTTTCCCGAGTTACCTGGCCAAGAGTAAACAACTCAGCACAGCTTTTGAGATAGGGGTAACTGCCACAGACAAAAATCCAGGTAACAAAACCCAGTATAGTACTTTCTTGTGCTTAATAAAAGTGTTAGAAATGATTTTTCTCTGAACATCTTTAAAGTCTTTAGACATCTGTTAATGCTTATTTATGCTTTTGTTCATTATAAAGCCAAAACATGAGTTGTAGAGAATATACTACAAGTAGTATTAATTACCATTTTCCAGTATTAAAAGAGCATATGTTCTCAGAATTCTAGAGTCTTCATTCAAAAGTCAGTAAACTCTAAAAGCAATGATTTTTTTTTTTAACTAGAAGGCCCAAATCAGTTCTATAGTCCAAAACCAATGTAGGCTTTTTGCACACAAACATTATTCAGTCTGATCTATTAGCTTGAGGTAGGCTACAGTTTTTAGCAAAGTATGAGTAGAACTGAAATTATTCCACAGCATTCTTTGCCCTGGAAGTAGTAACAAACCTCACTTTTCAAACAAAGAATACATCCACTCTCTCCTTTCCCACTGGTTTATAATAATGTTATTTTTCTCTAAAATGTCTGGGCTCGACTGATTTTTAAGTTGGAAAAGTTAATGAAAGCAATATTGCATTTGAGGTCAGTCGGCCAGAAAGATGGACATGAGCCAAATCCCACATCCCAAACATTCTGCCTCAATGGCATGTGAACAAAATGCCCACTCTCCTCCTGCTTCCCAACAGAAGCAAAACAAAGCCCTGCAAGACAGTTACCCACTGGAATTGAGATGCCTGTCTGGAGCAGAAAGACACACACACACACACACTCCCTGTCCAAGGTACAATAGCGGGGCTCTTTCACACCAAGAATTCTGTGCACAGGCAGCACAAGGGCTTCCCCTGGAGATGCTGCTTCAGAGAAAGCCAAAAGATCACAGGTTCAAAACCAGCAGTCCCAACAAGGTCAAGAGTAGCTTCCCATACTCCAAAGTAAGCAACTAAAATTCTTAAAACCAGTTTATCTAGACAGCTTAAAGTCATTTCAGACTAATCTCAGAAAATCATTTAGTAGCAATGAAGAAAAATTTGTGCTAACACAGGAACATGCTAATTTTAAAAAACTATTATTTCCTTTTTATGTATGTAATGTTCTGTGCACTACAGCTTAGTTGCACTTCAATTTCCTCTTACATTTTTCAAGGCCAAAAAGGAAGAGCAGGAAGTGGACACAATTAAGTGGGCAGAATGAGTTAGCCAGAAGACTTAAATTTTAACTATGAAATTTAGAAAAACAAGTGTATTCCATGAGATTCCATTATTTAATCTGCACAACAATGAATATAGGATTTTAGATATAGCCTGCCCGTATCATTCTAGAGTTACAACTCTAGCATAATGAAGACACATTGTACACTATGTATGATTTCATTTAGCAAGTATCAAAACATTCTCGAATTTTCATATATTACAAATTTATCTCCCCAAAATTAACTGGACATATGCTCATTATTTACATCTCAGAATTCAAAGACAAATTGATATATTGGTATCAGAAATACCAATTTTACTTCTAAGTTAAAACCAACGGATGATAAATTTTAATCACTAAGAAAGCATCTTAGATAAACCAAGTTAAAAAACAAAAGTTAGAGTATTATCCAACTGCCTTAAAATAAAGAATATAAATTTTGGACCTACTCTAGAAAACACTCTAATACTCATGAAAGTATGAGTATCAGATCATTAAAATCTCCTTTATTCATACTTTTCTTTATGCCTAATTAACAACAGTTCTGTATGTAATACATGAACGTGTTTAAAAGGAACTCATTGGAATGAATTGGATTTGGAATCCACACCATGCTCTGTTTGGGATGAAGAGGGAAACTGTAGCTCTGGGTAATCTGCAGACAAGGGGCTCATACAGCAAAAACATCCCCAAGACAGACAACAGCAGGTGGAAACTTACCACTGGAGCAGTTGGTCCCACCCCAGCCAGGCTCGCACTGACAGGTGTTTGGAGCAATGCAGCGCCCATGGACACATTTATCAGCACAGTGAGCTGTCAGAGAGAAAATCAATCAAATAAAGAAAGTTGGCACAAGAAAAAAAAAAAGCCAACAACACAGCTGTTGCACATCCTAGGCTCAAGTGTCACTTAAAAACAACATGCATGCTTGATAATTTTCTTCAATCCATTCCTCAGTCCTCTTACAGTCCGCTGGTACAACTAAACAATTTCCCTTCTTATTTTGATATCTCCAAATAAATTCCTCCAGTTCTACTTGCTTAATTCTACTTCATGCTAAATTAGGAAAGAAGTTTCAAGGAAAATTGCCTAATCCACTTTTTTTAAAAAAAAGAAAATTTATAAAAGACCACCAAATGTATCCTGTTTGGGGAGGAGAGTATGTGGAGAAACAAACCAAAAAGCAAAACACCAGGACCACAGCAGCACAGCAGACCAAGAGGTGATTGCCTCCACAAAGCATTCACCACAAACAAGTCACCTTCCTTTGTGAAGACCCTGTTCACAACTCTGACATGGCAGAATTGCACAGTCTTAATCTGTTGAGGAAAATACTTGACAAATGTCATCTGGATCTCCAGAAAATAATAGATCTCAATTCTCTTCCATAAGGTGACTGTCTCAGCCATGACCCAGCACTTGGAGACAAGGGGACACCACTGCAAACACGAGCAAATGGTCTGAAGACTACTTTCCAAAAGCAGAATTCAGCTGAATGACAGGAAAGGGATCAAAATACTCTCCATGAACACTGACGTTATCTTCCACCTTGTTCCTCTCTCACTGTTTAGACACCATCCAAAATATCTAGGTAGATGAGCAATTGTGAGGGCAACTTGGAAGAGTTTGGGGTTCAGGTAGTTCAAAATTTTATTTCAGGATGGGGTAAGACACCCTGTGCTCTAGATGTGTCTCATTAATATATTCTTATTACAAAAGTAGAATAGGTTTCCTGCCCAAACATAAAATACCAATAGTGAAATAGACCTCATCTCAGTTCCACAAACTAATAACATTCTCATGGTTAAAGAATCCTTCAGGAATTGTTTTCCCTATATATTTTTCTCCTCATAAAAAATGAAAGTAAAAAAGCTTTCAAATGATTTTCTACTCAATATAATGAGAAAAATATTTTCATGATATATATATATATATATATATAATGTGTGTGTATATATATAGTATACATATAATGTGTGTGTGTATGTATGTGTGTATCATGATATATATATATATATATATATATATATATAATGTGTGTGTATATATATAGTATACATATAATGTGTGTGTGTATGTATGTGTGTATATATATATATATATATATATATATATATATATAAAATGATCCAAAATGATGGTCACTTCTAAAATCTTGATCTTTGACATGAAGAGATCTATAGGAAAATAATTTAGTTTACCTTTAAACCAAACAGAAACTGGATGTGGTGGCTGATTTAAAAAAATAAAAATGCCATACAAACTGAAGAACATCATGCTAAGTGAAATAAGCCAGACTCAGAAAATCAAGGGTTGAATGCTTCCTGTCAGGTACAGAAGCTAGAGAGAGAAATGGGGAAAATGTAATGAACAAAAGGGGAGCAAAGTCTCAGGATAATAGAAGGGAAACCAATAGAGTAGAGGAAAGAGGGAGGAAGAGAAGGTGGGCATAGAAAAATACTGGGGAAAGAAATTTGCCAAACTATGCTATGTCCATGTACAAATATGACACAACAGACCATGCACGTGTGTGCGTGTGTATATGCATGTGTATACACACATGTATAATTATAATTCTCTAATTTAAATGGCAATCACAGAAGGGAGGTCAGTAGAACAGAGCAAGTGGGTGGGAGTGGGAAGAGGGGAGGAACAGGGGAAGTACTGGGGAATGAGATTAATTAAATTTTGTTATGTGCCTGTAAGAATATGGCATCCAAATCTTCAAAGTGCCATCCAAATCTTCAAAGTTCAAATCTTTGTGTCTGTTTAATATAATAGTGTAGTCCTCTCTAATTAATTTTTACTAAGGGAATGTTATAAAGTTAATCTCTAAGGTAAATTTATATTGGTACAATTTTCCTTTATTTGTGTTTATATCTTGGAAATCCATACAAGATTCCATATCACCAAAAAAATAATTCTAGCACTTGAAAATCTGAAAATCTCAGGGTTCCCATGAAGCTGGATCTGATGGGAACCACCTAGGTTTCATATGTGTTGGGGGCTGGCTATGAAAGGAAGATGCTCAGAATATTCTATAGACTGGTCTCAATTTCTGCTTTCCCCCTTTTTTTTCATTTTTTCTTTCTTTATCCTCTTTTTCATTTTCTACCACTCATCTTTCTCTCTCCACAAACTATTTCTTTGATCTACACAGTTATCATAGAGGTTACAGATTAAAATTTGACTTCAGTTGTAGTTGGGTTCAGTCTTAACCCCAGGGTGACCCCATATGATTTCCCCTGCACCATGTGAAAGGTAAGATTGGGTTGAAAGGAGCAGGGTAAGATTATTAAGGAAGATTGAGCAAGAAGGCCTAGTACTTTGCTCCAACATCAAGATAACATTTATTAAAATGGGCAAATAAATGTATATAAATTAAGCCTATGTTCTAGAGAGTTAGGAATCAGAATTGCATATTCTTGGATCTCAAGCCATTGTTTTCTTTTGTTGTTCTTACTGTTTTAATTCTGAAAAAGGACAGTAAGTATATTTTCATATACAGAATTAAAATAGACCTGCTTTGGAATGCTTTTAGATTGTTGGGTAATTATACAAATGTTCTTGTGTTCCTGATAAGTGCAAACTTTGTGTTTTTATGAAAGAAATGTAAAGTCCAGTCATGTACAATAAATGAAAAAAAATGATGGTACTTTTAAAATACGGATTATTTTTATTAAAAAAAAACCTGGCTTATTTTTATGAAAACCTGGGCTAGCATTTGGGCAAAATCTGGAACACAATGTGGGTAGGTCATTAGCAGAAAAGATATTTCCTGAAAGTTACTTAAGAATTGGAAGGGAGAATCTGCTTTCCTAGTGCTTTCCTTTTTCTCAATTACAGCTCAAGTCAATGGAATCACCTTTAAAAATTGAGTCCTGTAGTCAAATAATGGCCTTAATGATGGGAAAGATTGTTGGGATCCACTCTAAAAGGAATAAACACAAAATTCTACTTCTGTGATATAGTAACTTCATGCAGCATTAGACTCTGTCATTCAAGTGCCATCTCTGCCCCATTCTCTTCTTCTGCCACCTCTGGACTATTACCAAGTCCTCACACAATGGTCAGAAGAACAGGGAAGCAAGAGAAGAGAGCCATGGAACTGTATGTTCTGTGATGTCCCAACTCACCAAGCTACAGAAACACTGTGAAATATGTGATAACACTGACCCCCTTGGGACTCAGCAGAGTTAGATCCTACCCCAGGCTCATCTTTCCTTATTCAGCTTTAGATGCCAAGCTTAAGTGCTGAGCTTCCAACAGAATCCACGTGGAAAATCAAAACAAGCTTCACACACAAAATCCTGTGACATACCAAAGGGAACTAGAAAGGAACAAAGGAAACAGAGGTCCCCTTTAGCAAATGTTCAAAGCTTGGCTCTCAAGCACAGGTACAAAGGACCCTCATAATAGTGGGTTTTTTTTTTTTTTCATGCCTGAGAGATTCCTTATCCATGTCCTTTTCTTTTTTCTTTTAAATATTTTAAAGATGTCCTATCCAATATAATTTATTTTATCCTATCTCTCTTTAAGAAAATCACTAAATATTTTATAATAAATTTTTGGTGACTTTTTGTTTGTTTTTTGAGGCCAGATAGAAGCTGGAAGCTGAATCTCCGCCCACACTTAGTATCGTGCTGTAGACACATCAAACTGCAGGAGGCAAAGGTCTCCTCTCCCTCAAGAACTAGGAGACAACAGGCACTAATGAGAAGAGCAGGCCATGTCTTTGAAGTGAAAGCTGTGGACAGTCTGTCTGCTTGGTGGACAGGTGAGGACTGACATGATGACCCTGGAATCTTCTCTAATTAGGCTCCTGTTTCAGCCTTAGTTCCTAAATCCATCTAAATCCCATTACCAATGCCATGAACCTCATTGTTTCACTTGTAAATACTTGGCTTTAATACCGAAAGCCATTAACTATAGTCAATTGTTTTTTCCTCTACCACATATATTTTTCTTTGGATTTACACCTAGGAATGGAATATATGTGAAAGGAAGAGTGAGCAGAATAAAAAAAAAACTCCTTTAAAACCCAATTATATCTCTAAAGAAAATACAAGCCATTGTCCTAAAGGATATAATGTAATAAATCCATTTACATTAATTTGGAAAATGTTTCTAAGGTTAAAGTATCTCCTGAAAGTCACTATCTAATAGATACAACCTTCCAGCTAATCTATCTTTTCTCATTAGATCCTTTTATTCTGAGTTATGAATAAAGAGGATGAGTCACAAATCTTATTTTTTGAATTTATTCAGTGAGTTGCTATAAAAGAACATAAATTTTTAGAATTAAAGGTAACTTTACTGAATATCATCCTTGTATTTTTCAGGGAAAGTGAATAATTTCATCAATATTTGTAGCTAGGGTTTAAAAAAGAAGTAGGATTAAACCTGGTTCTCTAATTTTGGGGAGTCCAAAACATTATGATGGTTTTAATGGTAGTGGGAGGGGAGCATGGGTAAAAAGATGGTAGAAGGTGTGTTGGACCAGCTACTAAGACAGGTGTACCACAAGGCTAGGAACCAGGAGTCAGAAGATTCAAAGGAGGAAAAGTGAGAAAGCAAAGAAAGTGGACTTCCAAGGTAAACTTCATGCCCTCACACTTCTGTGAGAGGTCAATTATGTGCAAAGTCTTTACATAATTTCATTGGTACTATAAGGTTCAGTGCAGACAGGAGTCATCTGTTTTCATATTTTCAAACATAATATTGTAGACTACACTATTGTATTTGTAAAAAGGGACAGGGATTCTTTTTCTTCTGCTTAACATTTACTGATGTAGCAGGCACATTGCTAAGCT